CTCAAATTGAACCTCATGCATTTTCTCAAAATTGCCCAACTTGCACAAATCATATCTCACTCAATATTTATTATATGAAGGTGACCTTATAATTTTTGGAAACCTCAAGATGTCGCCTACAATATCTATGTTGATCATTTTTTTCATTTGTATAATTCATCTTGACGTAAGTTGCCTTGACAAAAAGTATCTTTTTGTCGACTTTTGAAATGACCTGTAATGTTTTGGCCCATATCTCTCAAATGAATCATTTTTTGGACTTGAGCTTAGAGAGACAAAGTTGTAGAGAATTAAATTTTCATCAAAATGAGGTTTGATTTATAAAAATATAATGAAGCATGTGAAAGTTGTGCTTGGTCAAAGTTCAGTTGACTTCTCCTTAAGAAAACCCTAATTTAGTAACTTTTGACTTTTGACGAATCTTGAATTTTCTTGATGAATCATGATCAACACCTGATCAAATGATGAATATGACTTCAAAATATTTATGTTGACCAAAAATATCGAAGTTTGACTGTATATTGACCATAATTAACTTTTTGCCCAATATAGTTGATTTTTAATCATCTGAACAATTGATTGAGCAAACTTGCGATGCAAGGCTTGAAACTTGACATGGGCATTCCTTGAGACATATGAGGAACCATGAAATCCACTTGAGTAATTATAAGCTTAATTTTCTTTGAGAATCACAAAACCCTTGAGGAGAAAACGAGACGCAGGGAACGAACCTGGAAGTTTCATCTTCATCAGCGATCAAGGTTGGTTGTTCGAAACTTTTTGCCATCTTCTAGACACCGTAGAGTAATCCTTACCTCCTTGAATCATAATCTTCAACCAATTGCGTTGTTCTTGGGTGATTCATCACCCGATTTGAAGCTTATGTTGTTAGGGTTTATTCACTTAAGGATAAGATACATACTTCTTCTCATGAAATCAAGAAAAATGATAGTGAATATGAAGAGAGGAGGTATAAACAAAGGTTTTGATGCGATGAAGTGTGATTTTAGAGCTTCACCGCCGCCGAGGCGATTCCTGGGGCGACTTAGGCCGGTATGTTCTCAAGTAAGAGAAAAGGAAATAGAAACGTGATATGGAAATTGAAAGGTCACAAAACCTAAGGGATCAAAACGACTGCGTTTCACCTCCCTTCCAATTTTATTTTTCTTTTACCTTTTTTAATCAGAAAGCTAGCTACATTTGGATGTGTTTCGGGCTTAAGAAGTTGGATCTTCTATTCACACTCTCCATTGGTCCAGGACACCCCTTTGCTTAGTCTCAATTTTCATTTTGTTCTTTAAGTTTTTAGAAATTAATTTGTTATGATTCTTTCATGATTTTGTTCTAAAATTTTGTGTGGATAGTAATATGTTAGTTATTGAGTTGTCGATATCTTTTTTTTTTACGATTTTTTTATTAGTTTAGATATTAATTTGATTAAATGTCGAATTGTAGTTAAGAGTAGTTTTTGTAACGTTACAGTCGATTCCGTATCCTTGATTCAAATTCCTTTGCATGATGGGTTGTTTAACGGTATGATATGATCCATGAACAATGCACTGTTATTTTTGACGCATTTGTTCATTATGCAAGGTACAATTTGGTGCTTTCAATCATATAACATAACAAGTTGATATGCGATCGGAGCATACAACTTATGCTCGCTGTCGATGCGACACATCTTATTTCTCATCGTCCTGGGAAATTCATATTATTACATGTTGTCCAGATGCATATGATGTTTCATGACACTTTGTGCATGAACTTCTGATTACGCGTTGCATTCGCAACACACATTTGCTTTTATCCTAGTCGGATATCGATTCTAACTTTGTTTATTTCTTAGTGAAGCTTGCTCGACGCGTATTCCCTGCTTCTCCATTGCTTTCGTCTTCTCTTGACGATTTGCTCACTTTGGTAGTTGCCGCTACTACCTTCATACTTCTTCGCACTTTGCTACATTTCTTTACTTCTTTCTGATGCCATGAGAAATAGGAATAGAGATGTATGACAGGGGTCTCCGTTCCTGATCATGTCAGGAACCCCTCTGGTTTATTTAAAGACTCGTTTAGGGAAATTCTGCATTATGTGCGTTCTATTTTCTACTTGTGTGTGGTTTGTTTAAAACCCTACCTTTGTGTAGGTATTCTGCAGGTGTATTTACATTTGTTCCCGCATTATTCCCTCATCCCTTATTTAAGTGATCAAAAGGAGGTGAGCGGGAAGGGTTAGCAATCAACCCCCGTAATCCCTTTCGTGTCATCCTTAGCTCGTGACGCACCACGAAGCTTCGGAGTTGTGCCTGCTCTTGTATATAGAGTCGTCTAGTGGGGAAGGGTTTCGCAATCGAACCCCCACGCTTTGTCAGGAGTTCGCATTGGCCGATGCTGATACTCTGTGATCATTCATATTACCTTCTGTCGCTTGCCTCGATCTCCTATATCTTGGTAAGATATTCAGTCGCTTTGGACATCACATTTTACTTTTTCATCTCACTCTGGCTTGTTTGTCCCGGGTGATACGCTCCCTTTGGCTAAAGCATTTCTCTTTTTTTCCTTTCTCTTTTATGTGTGTGCTTCTTCAAGCTTGCTTGTTTTATCCTTGTACATACCATGTTCCCTTAGGACGCGCTTGTTCCTTTCGGATATAAGTTAGACCTTAGGTTATAAGCCATGCATGCTAACACTAGGTAGACATTTCCCTTTCATCCTTGACGTAGGGCTACCATTGTATGATAACATTAGGTTAAAAATAGCCTAGTCTCCCTTAGACTCTTTTCTTCCCCTTTTACATATGCATTCTAAAACTAAAACCTTCTTTTTAGCAGATTATAAAACATGTTAATCATACTTAAAACTTTTTAAAAGGTAACAAAAAACAAACCAATCAAATGTGTCATCTTGCCTTGAGGGCGTAACTCGAAACCATTTTTAGTAAGGACATGATTAATTTACTTCTATGCCAACGCGTGAGTCTCCAAAGGTCGAGCTACAGCAGAAGACAAAATTAACATTGTTCATAAAAAACACAAAACAAACAAAAACATGTGAGCTAAACTACGGTAGCTCTGATTCCTCAAAAAGGATACCTAGGCATTGGGGTAGGGCCCAAGCGAGTACAATTTTATTTTCCCTACATATTTTTCTCCTTTCTTTTGCATGCATCCTCCCTTAGCAATAAATAGTAAGCATAAATTAAACACACCCATAAGATAGATAACAAGAGTGGATACCATAGAGTACTACAGGAGTGTGGGATACTAATACCTTCCCCTCGCTTAACAGACTCCCTTACCCGATCTCTCGGTCGTAAGACCGTGACTTCTCCCTTTTCAGGTTTTCTCGATGTTTACCTTTCCCTTCATGTGGGATAAAAGACGTTCGATGACGACTTTATTGTTTGATGATTTTCAGCCGGTCGTTTCACCCCTGGGCAGCGACCTCTCCAAAGGAGTCAAGATCTGTGCCGACCTCCCCGACTTAGCGAAGAGGTAGCTGAAGGCGTACTTAAAGGAGAATACAAACCTTTTTGCATGGAGCGTAGCAGAGATATCCGGCCTAGACCCGAAGATAGCATGTTACCACTTGACAATAGATCCTGCCTTCAAGGCAGTTGCTCAACGTAGGCTCCAACAGTCCTTGGAGAAAATCGAGGTTGCCGAGCAGGCCGTCAAAGACTTCCTAGAGGAAAAACATATTTCTGAAGCCCATTATACAACCTGGCTCTCTAACGTAGTTCTTGTAAAAAAGAATAATGGAAAATAGCGTATGTGCATTGATTATACTGATCTTAATATGGATTTCCCTAAAGACGCTTATCCCCTCCCCAGTATAGATAATGGTTGACAATTCTGTAGGTTTTAAATTACTTTCGTTCATGAATGCATATTCTGGGTACAATCAGATCCCCATGGCTAAAATGGACAAAAAATATACGACATTCATGACTGAATCAGACAACTATTATTACAACATAATATCCTTCGGCCTGAAGAACATCAACGCCACATATCAGCGAATGATGAACAAAGTCTTTCGAGGAGAAATTAGGGACATGCTTGAAGTCTACATGGACGACATGATCGTGAAATCCTAAGAGGAAACAGATCATGCGATCCACCTCAGAAACTCTTCGACCAAGCAAGAAGAGTCAAAATGCCATTCAACACGAAAAAATGTACCTTCGACGTGTGAGCAGGCAAGTTCCTCGGCTTCTACTTAACATAACGAGAATCGAAGCCAATCCCGACAAATGTCGAGCATTCTCTGAGCTTTCAACCTTGGGCTCAAAACGGAATGCTCACATCATTGTCCTGGTTCGTGGTAAAATCTGCCCAACACACATTCCCCTTGTTGGATACCGACTCCACCAAAGCCTCCATTCCATCTCCATACCTAAACCACAATAAATCCACCCACATTGCGTCCTTATCAATCATAAATCTCCACCCCCACTTAATAACCAAAGAGAAAGAGACTAAAATTTTAATAATGTGAATAAATAACTTATAAAAATAATTTTTGTAATTTAACAAAATATAAATAGATTATATCACTAATTTAATTATAACAAAAAGTTAATTAGATATTATCAAACTTAAACAATTATTTTGTAAATGCGTATACACATCTATTTCTTTTATTCATAAAAGTCTTGATAATCCAAAACATCGACCAAGACACTCATTTTTGTTTTTATTGCTTTGGTCTCTTGATTAAATAAGAATCGAGTGACCAAAAGTTTAGGCCACATCCAACTTTTTGATTTTGATATTTGCCAAACAACCCTTCAAAATCTAGTTATCAAAACAAACTAAAACACAATATATACTAGCAAATAGCAATATCCCTATCCTCACAAACTTCAAGAGAAATAGAATCCAACAAGAGAATCACAAACCTTCTTGTGTTGTGTCCATCTTCATTCAATTTTTTCCACCAGATAGCAACTTTGATATTAACTACATGTCTTACCCCAAAAACACCACAGAACCAAAAACCATGAACTCAAAAAGCCTCAAAATATGTTTATTGGTGTCCATAACTTTCTTGATCATTGCTGCCACTGTCATATTAGCATTAGCTTTCACAATCTTCAAACCCAAGAACCCATATGTAAGTGTCCACCCACTAGGACTCGAAGACCTTGAATTTTTCCAACCAAACTCAACAAGTGTACCTCTAAAAATGTTAATCACAATAGTGAACCCAAACTATGGAAGCTTCAAGAGCAAAAATGCCACTGGTTACCTTAACTATCAAGACACTGTAATAGCCAATGTTCCTTTAGAACCAAAGCTTCTCCCGGCTCGTCGAACTACTAATGTGACCACGACTGCTGGTCTTATGAGCGGAAAACTGATTTCTGATGATAGCTTTTTGAAAGATATTGAAGATTCTTCTTTCAATTTAACAGCAAAGGCAACACTTCATGGAAAAGTGTATTTGATCAAGATTTTTAAGATGAAGGCTACGGTTGATATCTTTTGTGACATCTTCTTTAACATAAGTTCCTTGTATACTGATTCCAACTGCTTAACCAGAATCAAGGTGTGATTATTATTTTCGCTAATTATTATCATCGTAATTTTAGTTAATATTCGTGTTTGTTTAAGAAAAATAACATATAAATAGGTGGAAAAATATTATATCCACGCGTGTATGTTTGCATAATATATTAACTTTATTTTAAAAATTGTTAGATTTATAAATATTATAAAAAAAAAAATGTAACACAAGAACTATTCGGTAGGTCATTCATCTTACTAAATAGTTGTTGATTTATAAATATCATAAAAATGTGTGATACAATAACCATGAATTTTTCAGGTCACTTATCCTAATATACAAGATGTCACTTATCCTAATATATAGGATGTCATCTGTGTAACTGATTTATTTGAACTTATTATGATAGGAAACGAGTTAACAGGAAATTAGTTAGTTCTTAAGTAGTGGCTGAGTCTTGTCCTCCCACTTATTGAGTCTGTTATTTGATTCTACAACCTGCAATCACATGATGTATTGATTATATATATATTAAGAAATTGATATTGGTAGGAGAGAGTGTTTGAGAAATTTGAACCTCTTTATTCCAATCGGTTCGAAATGTGACGTATAATAAAATGATTGTTTGTAGAACTGTGCCAGCTAGCATTCCCAACCATATTCCCTATACAGAAAAAATGAAATTGAATAAGCAATAAATAAGAGCTAAAAGGAAGGGAACAAGAAAAGGGTTTTGTTGGGAAATGGAAAATGATACCTTAGCACCGAATTCGAAATAGAATCCAAGAACCGAACCCAACGGTATGCCAAGTCCATAATAACAACCTACATTTACATACGCAACAAATGTTTGCCATCCACAGCCAACAGCCACACCTGTCATGCATGTATAATATATAATAATTTAGTATTTTAAGTTTTCTCTAATCACAATGGTTTACCTTATATAAGTAAATAAAATTTCAAGTATATCGTGGCAAAAATAAAAGTTGTGGGGAAAGTTTTTAACAAACTTTGAGTTGAGTTGAGATTTTGTTTTTAAAATTTGTAATTAATTGTGTGTTGAATTATAATTTTATTCAAACAGTTTGTGATTAATTGTGTTAAGTTATAATTGTTCTAAAAGTTTGTAATTAATTATTTGTTAATAGATAGTGTTCTCGACCTCAAATCTGCATCATTGTCGTTTTGATGTATTGTTTGTTTTGCGTTTGAGAATTTTTACTGTTTTATCTTTTAGAAAAGGCTCCTCGTTGAGTTGAGGTGGAAGATGTTGTATGTAAACTATCTTTAGACTCTATTCTTAAAGTAATGTGAGACTATTCTGACCAGTCATGAACAACTGCCCCCCATTCGAGACTAAGGAGCACGGAGTAAACTTCAAATTTCCATAGACTGCACCAATGTTCGGTTAGGAACTAGAAATGAAAGGCGAGGTTGCAAACTTGTGTCTGGTTACAATGTATTTGTGTTTCTGATGTGGTGGAAATGAGGCTAACATGCAAAGTTAACACTCTAACATCTAAGTCAGTGAGAGAAAACATAAGTAATGTGTGAGTGAGAATGAATTTGAATATCTGAAATGTCACGCTTTAACCTTATTTACCAATAGGGGTAGAGACCTCTCGCGTATGATGTGATATGTTGTGTGGACAACTGTCAGATTAGATCAGACGGTGATTGATGTGTTAGAGGACAAAATCACATACTTTTGGTTAGAACGGGGGTCTACTTGCTATGCATTCCTTTCAACTTGAGGTTTGGTTTTGAGTCTTTTTCTTTGGGCGTGAAGTTGTGTCTTGTTGCATTAGAGTTGTGCTTCCGATGCAATGGAGAAAAGGCTGGCCTACAAGGTTAACGCTCTAATTTCTAAGTCAGTGAAAGAAAACAGATGTAATGTGTGAGTGAGAATGAATTTGAATAGCTAAAATGATGTGTTTTACCCTTATATACAAAGAGCAGTTTAAACTTCTCATGTATGATGATTTGTGTTGTGCAGTCAACTGTCAGATTAGTTTAAACAGTGATTGTGTGTTAAAGGATGGAATTTTCAGCTTCTAGTTAGAACAAGGGTCTACTTTCTCTGTGTGCCTTTCAACTCGAGGTTGGCTTTTGAGTCTTTTCTATGGGCCTTGCGAACAGTTCAGAATAGTTCAGAATAGTTTTCCTCTAAGCCCTTGTTATATTCTGTAGAATGAGAGCTTTGCAATGTACAACTTTAAGTTGACTGTTTAATAGAAGTAAGTGAATGATCTTGATGGGACGCCATTTACATTAGAAACAAATGCATTAAATGTCTCTATCTTGATTAGCGATGTTTCATACGAAGGCTCTCATGTGTGTGCTTACGTCTGATGGTAATGATGTCCCCTCAGTTTTATGATACTTGAGTGCTCTAAACAGTCCCTGACGAGATCTTGATCATTAGTAGTATGGTTCACACTTTCTCATGTGGTAAATTACACAGTTCATTGATGCGGAAAGCGTATAAAAAGTTATTGGACTACTAATCTTCTCTTTTTTCGCTGCTTGTGGATTTGAGAAACTCTTATTCTTCTTCAACGTTTGCGATTTATTTTGTTTGTTTCCTATTTCTTGCATGAGTTTTCATCTTCTATGAGTTTTTGCCTTTTCCTTCAGTGAATGAGTTCCCAAAATTTCCTCTTTTAAGGCAATGCCCTAATTTCTCTTTTTTTTTTTCAATCTTGCTTTCATTATTAGGGTTTATGGAGAAAAAGACCAAGAGGTTTGATGGAGGAAATTATAGTTAATTAATGGCTTATGTCTCGTTCATTTTAATAGGAACACTAGACTTACCTTTGAACTTGACTTGAAATTCTATTTGTATTCACTTCTTTCATATGTCAACATAATCTCTTATAATGGAAGACATCCAACTTGAAGTTCGGAAAGCCATAGAAGAAAACTCATCGATATGAGTGGACCAACAAACACTGGATAATGCCTTTCCTTTTGTTCGTGAGGACAACCTTTGCAATTGTTTCATAATGGTAGGGCCTTTTAAAGATTGGGGTGATTCTCCTTAAAGAAGACAAAAGAATATGCGATATATACGACGAGTGTGTCGTTCCTCTTTGTGAATTCTTGTTCTTCGTGATAGGATTTCTCCTACCCTTCAACTAATTTGAGATTGTTGTGTTCCATTATTAATTAATCGCTTCTTCGCAATTGCCTACAGTGAGATGTGTCTAGATCAAGGTCTTCCATTATTTATGTGAATACAAGAAGGGTGTTCCTACCACACCTTTCTTCCTACATCTCTTTAAAGCTCAACACAACTCTGCTAATTTGGCACAGGGTCAAGTTATAATATCAATCAAGCAGTGTACCAAGATGTTGGAGGTCTACTCAGAGAGTGTGAAAAACTCCAAAGATTGGTAGTTCTTGGTACTCCTCCCAACAAAGTGGCTTATGCCAATATATGTACCATAGAGCCCAGGGAGCCCTACCGATGTTCTGATAAGTTCTTCAAGTTCGAGTGTCAGAGTCAATTTTTGGTAGAATTTGAATAGTATGTTTATAAAATGAATGATATGTCTCAAGAGGAGATTTATTTGAAAATGATATTAATATCTTTCTTTGAGATTCTGGGTTACGTCAATGGCGTTGTCTCTTCTAATTCGACGACAGAGAAACAAGGAAAGTGGTACATAAAGACACACTTGTTGGTGGATACCGGCTTGAAAGAGGGTAGGTACATTATTTTTGGTAAGTTGCATCGGGAAGCCTATTTTTTGAAGATAACCCTTTGGTGTTTCACTTTCTAACATGTATATCATTGGCTTACAGATAAAATGTAATGTTATGAAACAATGTAATTGATGAAAAGGACTCATCGAGTCGTACTTCTCATGGTGGGTTCTAGGAGTGGAGAAGTCTTTATGCTGAGAGAAGTATTATCATGCTTGACAAGATTCAACTGTATTGATATTTGGTGCTCCCCGAAGGGCAGAGTTCTTTATGTCGACCTTCTATGAATGGAATGGGAAATGCTCCAATAATGCATGCTCTTACAATAATATGAGACCAATATCTAAAGGAGCTTCAGTGGGGCATCTATGTTAATTTCAAGTAAATGTTTTGTTCTAGAGACATTCAATCATCTCTACACATTGGATGAGAAGGTGCATTCACTTGTCTAGGCGGTGAAGAAGAAGGGTGAAGCTTTGGCCCTAATATAAGTAGCATTCACCAAGGTCGAGGTTGTTTTCTCCGAGGCCAAAAAGATGTTGTACTCATCTTCTAATACGATAAAGGAGTTAGAGGGGCCTATTTGAAAGAAGCTTGAGTAGGTTGGAAGATAACCGGGGATGACCTTCGAGAGATACACCTTGAAAGTCATTGTTTCGCTAAGGAGTATGTGAATTTAGTGGAAGATGGCTTCTCCTCCGTTCATGTGTCTTTTGAGAATGCATTGTAGAAATTGGGACATTTGTATCCTTAAGTTCATATTTCACGTTTAGTGATGAGCGAGATGTGTAGTCCATTGTTGGGTTTTTTTCTTCTGTTTCCAGGGCATTCGTACCAGGTGTATCTTCAACAAATGTGTAAACTTTATGTCTCTTACTTGATAGTATATATGTTAATTTCTATTACTTATCGTTATTTTGACCTCGTATAAAATTGCTTTAAGTTATGAGTTTGATTTTCTGGGAGCCGAACCCTAGGTGAGGACCTAGTACGAGGTTGATGTTATGAGGACTCACCTCTGTTTATAGAGTGACTAGCTACTAAGAGGGAAAATGTAAGCTACTTGATTTTCATAATTCTTAATTGCATGATGAGGGAGGCTACGTTGATCTCCATAGACTTTCCTTTGTCCTTCTATTAGTTGTGTTGCAAGGTCTAATGTATCCTCCTTGTCTCTAATAAGTCAACGCATACCTTCACTAACTCATCATTAATGTTGTAATACTTCGGCTTGAGATGGACCAGGGCGGCCACTACATCTAAATTTGTTGCAAAAAAAAACATTCAAAAATACACTTATATAAGCTTTTAAAAGGAACTATAAGAAATTACAAGTCAAATGTCCTGGTATGTATTTCTTCTTCCAAAGAAACTATTAGCTCGATACATCCCTATGGACAGGTAATAGTGTTGTTAAAATCCGACAAGTCGGATCATTCGTAGGGCCACAACTTCTTCTTCTTCAACCTAATCTTTTCAAAAAGCTCTACGAACATGATGTCGCATGAGCTTCTGACGCTGTTGAGGATCTTAGAGACATTAAAGTAGGTTAGGATAATTATTATGACTAGAGAAAAGATCTTGTTTGGGATTCCACCTACCTTTTCATTATCTCAAAATCCAAGGATAAGTTTTTCTAGCTCCACGATCAAAGCATTCCCATCTTCATTGGTCAAGACCATCAAATCAATGATTTTATTCTTCATCGTCCCCTTGGAGGGGTTACTTTCCCTTGGAAGATCACCACTAATAGATTTAACGTATCAACCCTTACATTTCTGATCTTCCTCTTCACTATTCCGGTCTCTTCCCCCTTTAGCCTTAGTAATTGTTGAATAAACATTAAATGTGCTAGTAATAAGTTTTACTTTAAATATGGTAGTAGGAAGGACAAAAGTCTTAGTAAGTTATTAAGTTATAGTAGCAGTTATGTTTATGTTTATGTTTTAGAATTGTAAAAGTTATTTGGATCTATAAAAGACCAAGTGTGTAATTTATTTGACAAGAGCAATATACAAGTTTATACAGAAATCTGATTCATTTTATAACAATTTGGCATCAGAGCTCATGGCAAACCTGATGAATCAAATGTCGTTGCCATGGCTAACGAAGTCCAATTATGAAAACTGGAGTATCCAAATGAAAGCTCTTCTTGGATCTCTAGA